AGCAGGGATCTGGGACCAAAACAGGCAAGGCTGTAAACAGCAGAGAGAAGGGGGTATGTGGGCCAGGATTCTCTGCCAGATCCAGGAACCTGCCACCAAAGCTGGTGTCCAAATAGGGTCCAGGGCTGGGAGCCAGGTGCAGAGTCCCAGGTAAGCCCACGTGGAGGGGACTGAGTTCAGAATAAGGCAGGTAGGCAGGCAGAGGACGAGAGAAAACAAAGGTGTGTTTTCACTCCAGGAGTTGGAGGCCATGAATATCACCCTAGGAGGCTGAGCAACAGAAGTGAGAATCCTGGAGTAAGTGCCAGGAACTAGCTTCACGAGGGAGAGAGGCATGAAGGAGGGAAGCACTGGGGGTTTGGGGTGGTTAGCAGATGAAAACTCTGCTGTATAAAATGCATAAACAAGGTCCTACTGTATAGCACAAAGAACTATATTCAATACCCTGTAATAAACCATAATGGAAAAGAAAATGAAAAAGATTGTATATATATATATATATATATAGTTGTTGCTGCTGTTGTTGTTCCATTGCCCAGTCATGTCTGACTCTTTGCAACCCTATCGACTGCAGCGTGCCAGGCCTCCCTGTCCCTCACCATTTTCCGAAGTTTGCCCATGTTCATGTCCATTTCATTGGTGATGCCTTCCAGTCATCTCAACCTCTGACGCTCTGTTCTCCTTCTGCCCTCAATCTTTCCCAGCATCAGTGACTTTTCCAATGAGTCGGCTGTTTGCATCAGATGACCAAAATCCTGGAACTTCAGCTTCAGTATATATATGTATGTATGTATGTGTGTGTGTTTATTTATTTATTTATTTATTTATGCTATATATATAGGAGAAGGAAGTGGCAACCCACTCCAATATTCTCGCCTGGGAAATCCCATGGACAGAGGAGCCTGGCAGGCTATCGTCCATATAGTCGCAGAGTCAGCCGTGAGTTAGCAACTAAACAACAACAAACAATACATATATATAACTGAATCATTTTGCTGTATTACAGCAGAAATGAACGCAACTTGTAAATCAACTATACTTCAATAAAAATAAATTAAAAAAAGAAACTAGCTTGTTCCCAAATCCTTCAGAGCCACTGATACTACTGTCATCAGCTCCTCCACAACCACCATCACCAGCTCCACCCTGACCACCATCATAACTGTTGCCATGACCAACATCACCCCCACAAGCACCTCCACCTCCACCATCAGCATCACTACCATCCCCTCCACCTCCACCCAGTGCTATCAGCACCATCACCATCCCACAGTCACCACCATCACACGACCAACCACCGTCACCATCAGCATCCTGACCCTCACTCCCAACACACCATCGTCACCACTAATGTCACCACCCCCACCATCCTCACCACCAGCATCACTACCACCGGCCATGTCATCAATATGACCATCATCGCATGGCCATCATCCCTTTAGGATGTCCCCTCCACAAGCACAGAGGCACTGGCAGAGGCTTCAAAATGTCAGACTTCCCCGCCAGTCTCTGAACACGGAAGGCAGCAATATTGGATACAAATGACGGCCACTACCCAACTTACAAATCAGAACAGCTACAGGACATTGTGGTTTTCAATAAAATAATTTTCATCCAGGATATACACATATCCTGATGTGAACAGCCGACTCATTGGAAAAGACCATGAGGCTGGGAAAGACTGCAGGCAAAAGGAGACGAGGGCGGCAGAGGAGGAGATGGTTGGATGGCATCACTGACTCAATGGACATGAACTTGGGCAAATTTCAGGAGACAGTGAGGGACAGGGAGGCCTGGTGTGCTGCAGTCCATGGGGTCACAAAGAGTTGGACACAACTTAGCGACTGAACAACAACAACAACACACGTATATTAGCTCACTTCTTAAAAATCTCACATCACTGTAGGAAGCAGGCACGGCCACCCCCATTTTATGAGTGAGGAAAATGAACCTCGAGGACAGTAGTACCTGCCCAAGGCTACACAGGTAGAAAGTGACAGAGCCTGGGTCACACTTCCACCCACTGCTTCCACAGCTGGTTCCATGAGCAGTGCCGCTGGGTCACCTCTCTAAAGACTGCACCAAGGGAAGGAGAAACTAATTCTTCCCGGGGGTGAGCGAGAAGGCTTCCCAGAGGATGTGACATTTATGCAAGCAGGGGGAAAGGAACGGGAGTTCACCAGGGGACAGCATTCCAGGCGGAGCCCCAGCACACGCGAGGGACGTGCGCTGTCTGACTTCCTCCGCGGGCTCTGCTGACGTTCCCATGTCTGACCTCTGGCCGGACGGACAGCCGTGTCTCAGATCTAGTCCAACTGCCAGCCGTGTCTCTTCACACCCACCCAGCCACGCACACAGACCCCTGTCTCAGCCTGTCCTCACTCTGGCTCAAAACCCAGAGTCCCACATACCCGGCCGCCTCCCGAGAGAGCCTGGGATGAAAGGCTCTGGTGGGCATGAACTCAGGCGTCCAGGACAGGGCACCAGGCATCGGACTAAAGCATCAGCCATAAGGAGACTGAAAGCTGCGGCCCCGTGCTGGTCAGTCGGGACTGACCAAGAGGCTTCTTTAGATTCCCTCTCTTTTCGCAGACACCATCCTGAAGCAAATCCCTGATGGAGTGTCCCGATGAAACAAGGATGACAGCAAAGCAACTGCTCATCTGCAGGTCACCGAGCTGCAGCTGGTGTCCCTGATAGCAGGCCACGCAACTCCGTGCTCGGGGTATACATTCTGTCATGAGGGGTCTTTTGGGGAAAGCAGATTAGGAAGGGAATTGCTCAAAGCTAGGTGTGCCATGGTAGGGACCAAGGTGGCATGTGACCACAGCTGCTTTTTTTCCAGGCCAAAAACATTGTAGCTGTCTCTGGACTTGAAACTATGGGTCCACACATCCACGTGTGTGTGTGTGTGTGTGTGTGTTTAAGATTTATTTGTTTATTGAGCTGAGCTGAGTCTTCGTTGGGGCACGTGGGCTTTTCTCTAGCTGCAGTGAGACAGGGCTATTCTCTAATTGCAGTGCGCAGGCTTCTCACTGTGATGGCTCCCCTTATTGCAGAGCACGGCTCTCCGCCCATCGGCTTCAGAAGTTGCAGCTTGTGGGCTCACTAGTTGCGGCACTCGGGCTCTAGAGCTCTGGCTCAGTAGTTGGGACACACGGGCTTAGAAGCTCCACGACATGTAGGATCTTCCCAGAGCAGGGATCAAACTAGTGTCCTCTGCATTGCAAGACGGATTCTTAACCACTGGACCAGTAGGAAAATCCCAGCTGTGTGTTCTTTAGTAAATCCCAAACTACTTTCTGGGTAGATTGATTCCTGGACCACCCCTAAGCCTTCTTTTTGGGAACATGTTCTTCTCAGAGACCTCAGCTCTTAAAGGAAAACATCAAGTCTATCCTAAGCACTATTTCTCCCTTAACTGAAAACAGGGACTCAGTGCTACTGAATCTCCAATTCACTGTCATTCTACTCACTCACCACTCAGTTTTATGAAGCACTTATTATGGGCCAGATGCTTCCTCTGTTCATGAGAATGCGCAATGACAAGGATATGCCAGTTTCCTGATTTTTTCGGAGCTTCTATTCCAGCAGAGATTGACAGGAACAAATAAGGTGAAAGAAAACGACACTTAAAAGGTGATTTCTGATAGTAAAAGGAAGTGACAGCAGGTAAGCATGGAAGGAGGGGTGCGGGGAGCTGTGTCATAAGGCACCCAGAGGAGGTCTCCCGAAGAAGATGATGTTCCGGCTGAGATGGGAAGAATGAGAAGCATCCAGCTATGTGAAGTCGGGGAAGGGGCACACTCCTGGACAAGAAAGCATGAGTGCAAAGGCCCAGAAACAGGATTAATCCGGCCTTATCAAAGTACACAAAGCCGGCCAGGAATGGGGGAAGGGGCGGGAGGGCAGACTAGCAAGCAGGAGTGTTGAAGATGAAATAAGAGAGTGTGTCAGGAGACAGGTCATTACAGAGCCTTGTAGACCACAATAAGGAATTCAGATTATACTTTAACGTAATTGGAATCCATTGGGGGATTTAAAACAGGGGAATGGCATGATCTGATCTCCTTTTTTAAAAAGAAAGTTTTAAACAAATTCTGAAAGTTGTGTGGAGCATGGATCTGGTGATGAATGGAAGTGGGGGAGCTAAGGAGACCAGATGAAATGATGCTGGCTCAAACTAGGAACTAGAGTGATGGCAGGAGAGATGCAGAGAGACGTGAATGGACTTGAGAGGGCTTTTGAAATAGAAGTGACTAGAAGAAAATTTGGGGACAGTCGTCTTCAGAATATGCATCAGTGATTTTTATGAATCCTCTTAGATGCCTCTAGAACTGCTGCAGGGGCATGAGGAGAGAGTGGTCCAGATACAAGTGTCCCCGTCAATCAAAGCATCTCCAAATATGCCGACTGCCAAGAATGACAACTGCAATTTCCTTAAGAAAAAAAAGATTCTTTTAATGGAAAAACCAAACTTGGAAAACCACTACTGTGATAAGATAGAGTCTGCCTAACTGTCCCCAATATCCCTTCTCTCTATTTTTCCAGAAATAGAGCTGTCGCAATTTTTAGCCCTCACACAGCTACTCAGTTAGAGATCACATTTCTCAGCATCCTTTGAAGCTAGGTGTGGCCTCAAGACAAAGTTCAGGCCAATCAGTTGTGAGCAGAAGAAGTATGTTTAACTTCTAGGTCACTCCCTTAAAAATGAAGCTACTTATTCTCTTATTTCCCTTTTGATCTGCCTAGGAAATGGTGAAAAAGATAGCAGCCACACTGGGCCCAAAGATGGAATCTGCATGCTGAGAGTGGCAGAGCTGACCCACCAGCCTGGGTCCTTGGACCCTGATCTCTTGGAAGAGAGCGCTCTATCCATCTGAATGGCCCACCAACCTCTGGACTCGTAAGTGACAAACTTACACGACATCTTTTGACTTCAGAGTTACAGGAGTTCAGCGTATACCCAGGCAGTTTTGACAGCCAGTATATGATCCACCATGTACCTCAGTCCCTCTGCTGCAGTGAACAGAAACATTCCAGACAGTGGCCGCTTCACCGGTGTGAGAACAACTGTGAGCAAGCCCTCAGATAACCCAGGAGATGGACAGAAGGTAAGTGAGGAATAAGCCTTTGCTGTTTGTAGCTACTGTTGTTTGGGGGAAGTTTTATTACAGCAGCAGCATCTAACCTATTCTTACTAACACATTCTGGTTGAAAACAACCACTCTAAAATCTTACCTGGATTACAGGAGTCAGAAAACCATATCCATCAGCTGAGGAGATTTGAAAAATACAGATGCCTGAGTCCTCTACCCAGAAATCCTGATTTAGTGAGGCTGGAGTGCAGCCTAGCATGGGGATTTTTATATACTTCCCTGGTGATGCTAATATGCAGCCAAGGTTGAGAATTACAGACATCTTGTGGATGATACAGCAATAGCTCCACATAAATGCTTTCATTGAACTGGACTCCAGTATGATGAGGGACATTACATAGTGAAGGATATTACTTAAAAAAAACAAAAACAAAAAACTCTAGAATCATGATAAGTTGTCGTCACAGCAGGGTTTAATTTACTGTCTTACACAGTCTCAACTCCATGAGCAATTTCTCCTAGTCTCAGAGTGGGAAGTATTTGTGCTTCTCCAAACAACAAATTTGGTTTTGCCCTTGGACATTGTAAATCCTGTAAATGACCTTGCTTTCCTCTCTGGGTAGGTCCTAGAAAGTTCAAACTGGAGGCCCCCAACTAACAAGCGACTCAGATTTCACTGGCATACCGTTTTAGCCTTGATCTTTGTTTCAGTTCATTTTCTTCACTTGTGATATCATACAAGCTAACAAGTCATTTCCAGAACAAGCCAGGATATAAATATATTTTTAAATAATAAATAGGGAGCATGTGCCACTGACTGAAAAAGGGATGAAAAGGAAAACAATCAAGTGCACCAGTTTACCCGATTCAATTACACGAAGTTCTATAAAAATATCCAGCAAAGTCTATTTATTAAATACAGTTACTTAAACACAGAAATTCCTGCCTTGTGTATTGTAATATGGGGACCATGCTGAACTACAGATGCTCAATACCTTTCCTCTGTGAACGTAGGGATAAGCAGGAAGATGGGTATTGAAAGCTCCTAATGCAGTGTTTTCAAATGCTAAGAATCAATCTTGTGGTTCTACTCACCTTCAGAAAAATTTCCATATGACAGCTTCTGTTATTATTTATTATAGATTTAAAGCCCCATTAGTGAGCCGTGCTCTTCCTGGTGGCTGTAATCATCGTAATAACAGGAGCTACACTACTCCTCCGTGGACTTCCTCTTAATAGCTTCCAGGATGCACATCTTCGAACCATCTCATCACATTTCACAAATGTCTCATTCTTGACAACCCACTCTATTTGCTGAAGATCCTTTCAGGCTGGATGCTTATGCCTGAAAGAGTTATAAATTCCAACTCCATCCAAAATTATCTTTCCTCTTGTCTCTCCACATCATCTCTTTGCTACATTCTACAAAGAATGTCTTCATGCAATACTTTCAAATAATATGATATTGAATGACCCCATGTTTTACAAGTTCATCTCAGCAGCAAAGTGTCATTGGACTTCCACAAAAACTACAGAATATGGTGTTTTCTATCAAGATGCATGAAATGACAACACACATGTGCAGATCCAGGCACAAAGCTCTGTAATACTAGAGCTTGAGGTCACCTAGTTCACTCCACTCAACCTTCATTTTTCATACAGGAAAACTGAGGCCTTGAGGAATATTAATTCAGGTAGTCACTCTGTATTAATACTTGGGTGGTGTCCCATAAATTCACTGATTTAGTCAGTTATCTGAAATTTGGTACATATTTTTTCATTAAGAAACAATGTTACAACAGAACATTAGACTCTCTACAAAATTACAATTAGGATGGATGGTGATGATGATAATACAATCATGTGAATGTGCTTAATATCGCTGAACTGTACACTGAAAAATGGTTATGATGGTAAATTTTGTTAATGTATTAAACACAATTTTTTAAAAAATTCTTATTTAACCCACTTAGTGGATGAAATGTGGTACAAAGAGAAGAAAGAAATTCCACCACCTTTCCTGGGTCCACCTGAGAGCCCCTCCTCGAGTAAGTCTGATTAATCACATGTGCAATGTCCATTTTCCCCTTCATCTACCACTAGCTCCCAAGTTCCCTTAGGGACCTGTTCCTCCCCATTCTCAGCCTTAATGGGGCTGACCCCAATCTCATCTTCAGCAGTGGCCAACCACTGACTGGATAGTCCCCTGGCCACAGTGCTGGTTACGAGCCATTTTAGGCCAAGAAGATCCAAGAAGTGCGTGTGCATACGTATTATGTTTCAGAGGGTGGGTGGTATCTCCGAAAACAGGCAAACAGAACTTTTGCCTCTCTGCTGAGTTACCATAAGAGAGGCCAGCTCATCCTCTAAACGGGTGAATGGGAAACCCTGAACCATTGTAGCCACTGCTGCCACGATGACAAATGTCAAACCGAGGCCTGAGCCGGCACACAGAACGGAGCACAGCAAAGCACAGTGTTGAAAGAACTTCAGAGAAAGGGAACAGAAGCCCTGATGAAGTCATGAACTTCTGAAACAAGCCATACCTGAAGCTAGCAAGACCTACCCCTTTCACTGGCACAAGCCAATAATTCTATATTTCACCTTAGCCAATTGCATTGAGTTTCTGTTTATTTGCAACTGAAAGATTCCTAACAGATACAGTTCCAGAACAAATTCTGAAACAGACCAAGTGAGATCTTCATTCACTTCCCTTTCTGAAACCATCTCCCACCAGCCACTGTTTTTCTCTCTAGGCACCAAATGACTTCTGTCCCAAGGTCTCTTCTGATACCCAGCCCAGGCCTGCACTAACTACCAAAGTGCTTTAGACGCCAATATAACCTTCCTCTTTCCTCTTATTTTTCCTATTCTAAGCCCCCATTCAAATTCATAAGACAAACATAAAGAAAAACACAACAATCATCATGCATATATTAGATATGCATGTGTGGATGAGACGAATAGGAGATTCAAAGTTTGCTCCGTTTACATCAATATGTGCAGGTCAATACGTATGCCTGGATGGGAGTGTCACTGTTAGAAGCAAGTTTTAAGTACAGCCCTGGGGCAGAGGCAGATTGACACCTGTTTCCCAGTGTAATCTATGAAAGGAGAGATGCCGGTGAAAGCACAGCGCTGGACATGTGAGATGCAGCGCACAGCCAGAGTCACTCCAGGGCCCAGGGTTCAGAGTGGGACCCAGGGATGAGGAAGTCTGGAACACAGCATGTCCAGAGAAGCTGAAGACTATAGTGCTCTTTGTCACCTTTGAGATTTTTCCCGAGAAGCAGCATCTTAGTAAGAAGGAGGCAGGGTCCTCACAGATAAGCAATCTGCAGGAGGAGGAATCTCCTTCAAAGGCTTGTGGCAGACCAGGTCAATAAGAGATAGACCTGTGAGCACCCCCTGGTCTCAGAAATAATGGGCAGGCTATCAGGAGGCAAGGTGTTGCAGTCCTCTGTCTACAGGTAGGCAAGATGAAAAAGCAAAAGGGAAATGACGAATGTCTCTACATCAAGACTTCCTCTCCCAGCTGCTCTCCTTCTTCTTGTTCCCCGCGATTAGTTAGCAGATGTCCACATAGACCCACAGGCTAGTGGGGCATGGGGACCTCCAGTTTACACAGAAGAGAAATTAATACGGAACAGTCAAAACAGAAGATCAGGCAGTACCCGAGAAGGAAACCCAGAGACATATCACAGAGCTTCATGGAGGAGAAGGTTCTAGAGGGGTTTGACAGCTGGCAAGATCATCATCAAGTGGAAACAGTGAGACCTCCTTCCAGGAGCAGGATGGCACGACTGAGGGGGTGAGAGGACGAGGGCAGAGACTGCACCGAGTCTGGGCAGGTGGGCTCATAGTAAAGAGAAGACACGGGTGGGAAAGGACACACAGCTCCAGGGAGACCAGGATCTTTGTGGGGAGCCGTCTGCCTTGCTGGGTAACAGGACGAAACGCACTTACCTGCAGGCAGTAAGTCAAACCATGATCACGATCACGGGACGAGTGATGTCAACCCCTGAAGACTCCTGGGAAGGTGCACAATTTTAAAATAGACTGCTCGTTAACCCAAATTATCTAGAAACTGATCGGATCTCAGACAGCGGAGGAAGAAGAAAACAGGTGCCCTGGGCCAGAGCCCCAGTCTATTCCCACCCACCTTCCCACGCCCAGCCTGGGGTTCACAGTGCCCCCTGGTTCTGCTCAACTGGGGTCCCCACTGCATGATGAGGCGCTCTAGGGCATGTTTCCTGCTGCTGCTGTTGCTTCAAATAAGGTCACAGTTGTATTTGGAGGCCTGGACAATGGTGGACATTTTTAGTGTATTTCAAAGTAGGTTATATTAAGTTTTACCTGGTCTGCAATTTTAAAATAACCTGCCACATTCATTTAAAAAACAGCTCTAGTGAAAGGACTTAACGTCACTGGGCCTTTAAAAGTGGTTACAATGGTAAAGTTTGTTATGTGAATTTTTTTTTGTTATGTGTATTTTTCCATAATAAAAATATAAACATAATTTTTTTTAAAACCAATGTCTTTTTTTTTTTTCAATTAATCCTTTTTATTCTTCCTATGTAGAATACTAAACAAAATACTTGGAAATATGAAATTTGCATTTTATCAGGTGAGTTTAAACCCTGAGCATTTCTACTAACATACAAGAAACAGTAATAATAAGAATATCCATGGTACACATTACTCTTACAATGTAAATTTGACAGTTTTCTCATGTAAAAAAAAAAAAAGATACACTATGGTTGTGATAAAAAATAAATAAATAAATAAATAAATTTAAAAAAAAATAAATAAATAAAAGATATTTTATTTAATCTTCATTTCACATGATCAAAAGAAGTATTCATAGTAAAGTAACTGCATAAGACACCCAAATGAAAAACTGAGTCTTCCCTAACCAGAAGGTCTTCCTACAACACTGAGACCAAAAGATTAAAAAAAAAAAAAAAATCCCCCAATCAAAATCACCCCTCAAGCTCTCTGAAATTAGCAGAGAA